AATATTGAGCATAGAGTTGATTAAAGTTAGTTATTCCAATAATTCCTCACTGGAGTTGAAATCTTGCTCCAAGTCATTATTGCAGTTGTAGAAGTTATGGTATTTTCGCTTGGGGTAATCAGGCTTCGTGAACCGAATATTCTCCATGCCATTTTCTTGCTTGCATACGTGAAATCCAATACACTGGATCTCTACACCATTCTTGTGTGTTCCAATTTCTTGCTGGACAGAAACTCTAAAAAGAACACACACCACAATTGCAGGGAACTGTTTTTAGACCCAGAAGCACACTGAATTTCCCTTGCTATGGTAATCAAACCATTTCGGGATGCTTTCTCCTGGCAAAGAAAAATTTAGTGGAACTTGTTTAAATTCTGACACTAAGTTATTTTCAAATAAAAGTTTAACTAATTGTCTGATGATTTATCTTGGTGGACTTGTATTTGTAACCTTCCCTTTTGAACCAATTTCTAATCTTTTTTCTTCATGTTATTTTCATGTTTTGCCTTGTTCAAATTATGGTTGTAGCTTTAGCTAAAGAATTTTATTTTTTAAAGGGAAAAACCAAGGTAAACTTCAAAAATGAAAAAATATATATTATTATGATTATGATTATCATCATTATTATTATTATAAAGGCCCAAAAAAATTGGGTTTACAGGCCAGTTTAAAAGCCTGAATTGTTAAGATTGAGCTTAGTTTAATGAGACTTTCTGTACGTTCGGTTTATTGGGCCAAACTCAAATAGGCCCTGGATTACGGGTTATAGATTTAAGTGCCTTTTCAGAAGAGCATGAAAGCAAGCATACAAAAACAACTCACAGATAAGAGGAAGAAGACCCTGGAGAATTGAACATATATACACGGTCATGCCTTGGTGTCCAAGAAATTGGAAAACTGCGAAAGAAGAAAAAGAAGTTATGGAAGAACTCACAAGAGTACAGATCATCACATGAATGGGCATCATGATAATTGAGTATAATGTTCCATTATTGCCTCTTTCGACATGCTCATGTATATACATTGCGTCCAAATTTATCACACTGCTGTAATAACTTCTGTTCATAGAACATTATAATAACTTATCGAAGTTCATGTTGGAATATATAACTCACTTCAAAGCAAGGTATATAATGGATGAAAAAGAATCAACTAAACGTATATTTGTTGCTATAATGAAAAGTTACAAACTTAGAAAGGGGAATTATCCTCATATATGACATGAACTAAAGCATTCATATATTGGAAAAATGGCAGCAAAAACATTCCAAATATATAAAACTAGTATATTTGTATTGCCTATACAAATGTATTGCTAACAACGTGACATCAGATATTTTTGTGTTGGGTAATTTTGGTGCTTCAATCAGTTGAAATACAGAACAGTACAACGTATGCCTAGGAATGGAGGTCGATAGTTCTAACTTCTTGCCATTATAAGTAAGTATATTTCTATCAATTGTAATTTTAAAGTTGCTACAAATGTGACAAATTTGCATGGGACAAAAGCTAAGAAAAACAAATATAGCCAAGTTATATGTGTTATCAAAACCACGTGGTGCAGCAGAGCTTATATATACTATGTTAGAGAATGTCAGTGGCAGACATGAAAAGAAATAGGAAGGACAAAAAATTACCTCGGAAACTCATGGAGCTCGTGGCTGACCCAAGTGAATTGACAAATTTTGTTAAATTTGAATCCCAATTCATATCCTCCATAGTTTGTTATTTCCCCTCTGAAAGATCCACTAGTAAAAGTATTGGATACCAATCGACCCTCACCATATGAAGCGCTCCATAATGTTTCAAGCATGGCGCTTCTTTCCCTCAGCTTGTGTCTCTGAGCTGTCAGTGTCTTCTTTCTTTCTCTTACCTCGTTCTTCCTTTCTCTGTAGCTCCGTTGGCCGGTGACCTGCATCATAAATTTCTTGGATACCAAGACTTATTAACAACTGCCTATCCCTTGTCCTGAAAATGATCCTGCTTCCTTTACCAAACCGATCACATTCTCTAATTGCTCGTACCCTATCCAATTCTTCAACATCTTCAATAATTACAAGAATCTTCTTCTGTGGGAACCAGGGTTGTTTTATCAAATCACGGAAACCATCCAATGTGGAAACACTGCCCTTCCTGACTATTTCCCGAGAATTAAAAAAATACCAAAAATCTTCAAAATGACGAGCAATAAGACGACTCACATCACGTGTTATTCGAACTAAGTCAAGTGGTTCCCAAATTCCTACCATTTTGACTTCCTCATTAGGCCCCACATCGAGAAGTGACAATACTTCTTGACATTCCCTGTCACACTGTTTTGGGTCCCAAAAGATTTGCGTTGAGTTCAAAACGTTATGGAGGGAAAAAATTCCGCCAATCCTTCCATTGAGGTTCAAAATGACCTCTTCAATAATATGGTCGTCTTCTTTAGCATTACTGACAAATTTAGAAGAAATTCACTTTTTAGTCAAACAAAAAATTACGATATGCTATTTTTAGAAATAAAAGCCATGCTCCCCCCCTCAAAACATATTTCTCCCAATAAAAATTAATAGCATTCTTAACATAAAGAATTAAAAATTGAAATGTGGTAAAATTATTACAAAAATTTTAAAATAATATTAAATTCAGTCACATATATTAAAAAAATTACTAAGTCATTCTAGTGATGAATAAATTTGTAATTCAGACGTGTATAGTTATTAATTAAAATAATTACATAAATCAAACATGTTCCCTTTTTTTTTGTCCTTTTTTTTCTTTTCGTGCCGAGCCTTTTGATCATTGAAAGAATTCAATTATACTCTTTCGATCCTTAATATAAGACCTATTAACTAATTTGATTAGATTAAAAAAGTTAGGTAAGTTAATTAATTTAAAAAATATGATATGTTTTTCCTAAAACACCATAATTATCTTCCTTAATATCTTTCTTTTCTTTTCTACTTGATTATAATTGAGGGAGTATCCATAGGGATAATTTAGAATAAATAAATAAATATAAAAAATATATCTTATATTTAAGATCAAAATCAACTTAACAATTAGATCTTATATTAAGGACCGGAGGAGTATATGCATATGGCCATTGTTCAATAACTGTGCCTAAACTTTTCAAATTTTTAAAAAATAGTTTTGAACGTTTTTGGAATAAATATTCAAAATTATTATAAATTCAAAAAATTAAAAAGGGGTCTTATGAGCTTCATTTTCTTATTTTCCCCTCAATGCAAGTATGATCTCCATTTCCATTTGGACATCTGGTTTGATTTGTGCAACACAAGATATACAATACTTATTATATTACTAATATGAATTTGCAATTCGATTTTATTAATTTTTATTCAAATACATGAAAAATACTTTTCATTTACAAAATTATGCTTTTATCCTTTTTCATTCTACTCATTATGGGAGGAACCAGGAATAATATATCTCATGTTAACCGGTAGTAGCAAAGCATTTTTATCAATATATTATTCCCACGTAAAGTAGAATAATGTATATTAGAGTTATATTGATATAAAATCAAAAACTATATTTTATATGCAACTAATATCAAAATTTGAATAACTCATATTCATAGATTATAAATGATACTACTTTCGGTCCTTAATATAAAAACTAGTTTAAGTTTCAAATTGATTCTAAATATAAAATCTCAATCCATTTTGTCTCTCATATTTATTCTTTTTTTTTTCTAAAGTAGTCTTTGTAATAATTGCACATATCAAATATTTTTATCAAATGACAATTGATTAGCAAGGATATTTTAGGGAAGATAATACCTGTTTATTACAAATAACTAACTGAACTAATTTTCTTAATTTATTCAAATGAATCAATTAGCTCTTATGTTAAGAATGGGAAGTAGTATGTCTTATTTATGAAATTTTTGTTTAATGAACCAATTTGAGATATTGAGTATTAATAGCTAAAGTAATGTCCAAAAATAAGAATAATTAAGAAAAAGGGTAAGGACATACTTGGTAATGCTTCTCAAGTTAGCTGCTTTAGACAAAGCCAGCCTCCATTTTTGCACTAACTGTTTGTTGTGTTTGTATATCTTCTCAAGCCTTGCAAATACTTTTCCGTAACTCCCTGTTTGATCTCGCAGCTCTAATGGCTCCACGCCATAAAAAATTGGATAAACAAATCGACATTCTATGCTAAAACACTCAAGAATGGTGGCAAGACTATCCAAACAAGATGTTGAGGATGCATAGTTTTTGGAGATAACTATGATAGTGGTCCTGGATTCTTGTATTGCTTTCAATTCTTCCTCACTTGTCTTGAGAAATTGATTGTTAATGAAGGCATGGATTCTCCTTTCACATAAGGAATTGTAGAGATAGCTAACAAAACTTGAACATTCATCATCGTCACCTCTATAACTCAAAAACACATCATAATTCCATGTGGATGGTAATAACGCTCGCTCTGCCTTCACATGTTCTTCAATTCGTGAAACCTGGGCCTTGAGATTGACCACACCTGGAGCTAGGTCTAAACAAGTACATTGAAATATTATCATCTCAAGTTAAAAATGTCTATTTACATTTGTATTAGTTATGCAGTAGTCAACTTGTATAAGTAATAAAACAAATAAGCTTCAAAATCACCATATTTTTAAGGGTAAATTAATCTAAAATTTCTTGTAATTTCTCTTTTTTAGTTAGATCATATCTGTTTCTATCGTCAACTCCTTCAATCCCCATCTTTGTTTCACCTAGTTTGTTGGATTTGTTGTCATTACTAGTAATCAAGCAATGTTTTGACATGAGAAAGATATTAAAGTAGGTAACACAGAAAAAAAGGAGAAACCCAACCTTGGTAAAACATGTTTTCTTCAAGTTCTTCCCGGTGTTGTGGATGTTGTAATCTTTCCCAGGAGTTACTATCAATGTATGTTTTCCTAGGATCCATAAATCGGATGGCTGTTGAGTTTTTTTGTTGCTTATAAACATGAAGGGCTAAGTGAAATTGATCCCTTTCATTTTTCATTTCTTGGGCATTGCTCTTGATGGAAACCTTCACATGATTCCATTTATTTCGATGTGGGAGTTCAGCCTTGGGAATCATACTTTGTAGATCGCATATACATAAATGATCCATTTTCATTGTTGATAACAGAAGCCACTCAGAAGAAATATCTAGCTTGACGTCATTGACGTGCACCAAGAATGAACAACTGAAGAGAAAATCCTGATCTTGTTTCACAAGAATCCATATAAAAATTGTTGGAAACACATCACGAACCCAAAAAGACACACAGCTTCTCCTACTATAACTATCAAGATTTTCTGGGAATTTACCTCCAGGAAAGATAAAGTTTGTTTTCCCAGGTTGCAAGTTGAGTACCTATCAATTGCATTTGAAAGAAAAAAAAACTAATAAATAAAATGTAGAGAGATGATTATATACACATAGAGGGAGGGATAGAAGAAGAGAGACCTGATACAATACTCTGCTTTCAGATCTTTTTGTCAATGACATGCAACATATGGCACTGAATTTTTCCAAGTTTGGTGGCATCTCCTCAATATGTTGAAGTCGGTTGCAATGATCCAGGGAAAGATATTTCAAATGGTGACATTCCTTGATGCATGCTGGAAGGGTCGTAACACGACTACTGAAGCTTATATCTAAATGTATCATATTAGTGAAGTGAGAGAGGCAAAGAGCAAGAGAGTCATCTGATAAATTGCATTTTGAGAAGCAAAAACGTTCCAATTTCAAAGACAGTGCATAGCAATCCAAGTTTTCTTCTTGTCCTTCCTTATACATCTTTATATGAGACAATACTTTAGAAGAAGTTGCATTTAGCTCCCAAAGATTTGGCAGCAAACAAATGGTAGTTGGTAGTTGCTCAAGATAAGGACATTCCTCTATGTTTAAGGTTTCAAGTCCAATGAGATTACAAATTGAAGATGGCAACACAATAATGGCTGTTCTACCCAAGTGAAGATTTCGCATATATTTCATCTCAATCAATATCTCTGGGAAACTATAGAGCCTTGAACAACCATAGAGGTTGAGATTCTCAAGAGATACCAGTCTAAGGTCTGGAAGCAAAATTTCCAAGCTATTGCATCGCATGGCACTCAATTCCTTCAATTTATTTAAACACCCAACTGAATGATGGATTTCAACTAAATTTGTGCAATCATCAAGCCACAATTCTCTTAAATTAAAAACTCCAGATAAATCTGGAATTTGTTGTAGAAATTGGCAATTTCTAAAATTCATGCGGCTTAAAGTGTGGAACTTCTGCAAAAACAAAAGTAAATTCTTAGAAAGCTAGACACATAAACCATGAAGAAATATGACAAGTGTTAGATATACATACATACGTACCTTCGTAAATGGCTGGAGTGTATCAAAACAACTATTCGACAAGTCAAGACAAATAAGTTCTGTTGAACAAATATTATGCGGCAAAAACTTGAAAGGATACCCCTTCCATTTCAACCACTTTAAACTCTTTGGAAGATGTGTGGGGCATTTTGAAATAAAGCTTGCATTTTTTATCACAAGGATTTTGAGATTTGTCATCTTCATGAATGCCTTTCCACTCCATTGCATTTGTACTTCATTATCTTCAGAAAAGTCTTCAGGTAGGTCTAGAAATATGACTCCCACTTTATTGGTTCCCTGTCAAAATGAATAGCACACAATAAATTTCAAAACTTAGACATGCAAAAATCATAACGTAATTTTAAAGAATAAAAAATAGAATTCATATATCAGTGATCTTACTGTGTTTCGATTTAAAACATGAAGAATATCTTGGTAGAACCATAACCTACTTCGTTTACCGGGTTCATCTGGTGATTCTTGTCGAACAATTTCTTTACCCATATCTTCAATCACGTCATGCATTAACACCTGATCTCCTTCAATCTTATGAGGGATTTATTGACTAGAACATTAATAACATTATCCAGTGGGATTCCATATAAACATAACAACATGCCCTTAACTTCTCCTAATTCCTCACCTTTGGAAAAACAAGCCAAGTGTAGAAAAATTTCTTTCTCAAATTCTCCTAAAGCATCATAGCTTAATCGAAGGACTTCCAAAACTTTCCTTCTGGAATTCTTTTGAATTGATCCAATGCAGAGTGCCATTCATTGACTCCTCTACCACATAAGTGAGAACCAGTCACTTCTAAACTAATGGAAGTCCACAACAATAACGTATTGCACGTTTAGAAACCTCCATGAAGTCAAACTCCACATTCTCCTTTTCAAAGGCACACCAACAAAGCAATTGAAGAGATTCCTCATCATTTAATTCCTCAACATTATAAATACTCTTCACATGATGACTTACTAAGCAACTGTTTATCCCTAGTCGTTATGACAATTCTACTTCCAGGACCAAACCAATCACAATTTCCAGCTAGTGCTTCTAATTGTTTCAATTCATCAACGTCATCAATGACCAAAAGAATTTTCTTGTGGCCAAGCCTATGTTTTATTATTGGTATTCCTTCATACCAATCACCCAATTTGAGATCCTTCTCCTTGACTAATTTACAAAGCAATGTCTCTTGAAGATGTGCCAAACCATTTGGCATTTTAGAGTTTTTCCTCACATCAAAAAGAAAACATAGCCTTCAAAATGATCAGAAATCAAATTATATAAGGCTCTTGCAATCGTTGATTTACCTATCCCACCAGGTCCTACAATTCCAACCATTTTATTTTTCTTAGTAGAGCAAAGATCTAAATGTGAGACCACTTTTTCACTCGAGACACAAGTCCAACAGGGTATGAGTAACGTGTAAATGATTATGAATACGATGAATCCTCGCTGATACTTCATTGGTGATCTCTGTAATATGTTCTTGCTCATTTGCAATCCTGAACAATCAGAGAAAAGTTCACTATTAATCAAACTAAAAATTATATGACGTGCCAAAGCTAACTTTTGTCGTCTTCTATTCATCCTTATAAAAGGTCTCATTCCTTATCCAAGCAAATATGTAAGTATTGTCAGGCAAAACACTCAATCCATATTATAAAAAGAATAAATAAATAAATTTTTAATATAAATAAAGGGAAATGACACAAAAAAAAAAAGCACTCCAACATGCTAAACCCAAATTTAGGAAACTAACGGTTCATAATACATTAAAGGGAAGGAAACTAAAATGGCATTTTAAAATTAAATAGAAATAATACAAATGTCTTTTGCTTAAAAAAACTGCCAAATTCAAGGATGGTCATTAGGTCATTAATACTTTACTATTAATATGATGCCAAAACAAAAATACACACACATATATATAAATTTAACTATAATTCATTCACAACTTTTTGAATAAAGCTTAACAAGTCACAGTTTTAATTTAAATACTTGAGAAATGAGAAAAAATCATATATTGAGGAAACATTCAATTCCTAAACTTCGGATGTAATAACAAATTTTCAATTTATTTTACTAATTTTAATATAAAAATGAACATAAGGGTATTTCTGTCATTTTGCTTCAATTTCAAAATATCTATTTAAGGCGTGGTATTATGAATTATTAGCTGCTAAAATTGGAATTCGTCATTTTCAAGATTCTTTTTGTGTCTTTTTTTCAATAAATAATATATATAATTATTGCTACATATATGTATGCCTACTAAAATAATTATGTTAACTAATAGAGCTGCTCTGCATTGGGTGAGAAAGGATAAGGAAATTGTTTCTCTTCTCTACCCTTTCCCTCGACTACCGTCCTCCTCCACCCAAGACCATATCGTTTTGGGTCAAAAATGAAGGGGTTTTTCTTTGACCTTAAAAATAAAAGGGTTTGAATACTTTTTTTTTAACATCAAATATTTTAAAATACTTTTTTTAAGAGCATTCATTATTCTAAAATAATAATAAAGGGGTTTGGATGCTTTTTTTTACACTAAATATTTTAAAATACTTTTTCTAAGAGCATTCATTATTTTAAGATAATTTTTATACTCTCAATAATCTAAAATAGTTTTTAAGGAGAACCCGCCCAATACCTTAAAATAAATTTTGGTATACTTTGTATTTTAAAATATGTTTTAGTATCACTCAGTATTCTAAAATAAGTTTTAATGCATCTATCAACATAAATTTGTTTTGAAATAGCAATTAGTATTTTTAGTTTAGAGTATTTATTGTTACTAAAAAAATATTTTAAATATCAGGTGTTATTAGAATAAAAAGTTATTTTAGAAATCTAGTTGCTCTATTGAAAAAATATTTTAAGACGATTTTGAATACATCAAAAATTATTTTAAAACACTGATGAGTGTTTATAAGAAAATATATATTTTAGGCTGTTTGAATGTATCAAAAAATTATTTCAGGGTGAAAAAATTATTTCAAGATAATCTTTTGCACGGGCTTTTCAAAGAAATGAAAACGACAAAAATGTAATCAAAAGCCTTACATTTCATGTTGGATTTGTATTTAATCACGTCTAATTAATCAGGTCACGTTGTTAGAAGAATCTCAGAAGTCAGAAGAATAATATTCAAATAGTTTAAGAAAAATAAAAAAGCAAACGGTAGAAAAACATACTTGGCTTTGAGATGACACCCTTTCAAATTAGCTGCTTGGGACAAAGCCAACCTCCAATTTTCTACTTGTTGTTTGTTGTCCTTAAATCTTTTCTCCAATCGAGCCAAAGCCTCTGCATAGCTTGCTCTCGGACGTCGCAACTCTGATGGATCCACATAGTAAAATACTGGATATATTAACCGACCTTCTTCTTTAAAGCACTCGAGAATCTCTACAAGTTCCTGCAGGCAGAATGTTGAGTTGGCATAGTTCTCGGAGAAAACTATGATAGCTATCCTGGATTCTCTTATGGCTTTGATAAGTGCTGGTGTTATTTCTTCTCCCGTTCTGATGTGCTCATCATCCATAAAGACACGGATTCCTCTTTCATGTAGAGATCCGCGAAGAAAGCTAACGAAACTTAACCGAGTGTCTTCACCATGAAAACTAGGAAACACGTCATACTTCCATTTGTAATCAATACAAGAGGACACTGCTGGTTGAGCCATGACAGCAACGTCGTGCGTAGCTAATTTTAGCAGACTCGCAGGAGCCTAGAATAAAGCAAAGGAGAAAGATGTCGTCCTTGGGCTGGAAACAATGAGAGGTTGACAGAGGAGCTCTTGGTGGTTTTGGAGAACAAGAGGCGGTCATTACCCATTTGTAGTACGACCCTATTGGGTCATCTCATCCACGTACAGTAAGTTAGGGGCCAAAATAGTCTTGTTGATTAGGGCAGCTTCCCAGAAGTTACTTGGATTATAAAGCTGTCATGCATTCATTTCTACTTTTGCTAAAGCTGTCATGCATTAATTCCCACTTCCTGCAGAAGGGTTAGAGTACGGATCAATAATTGAGGCCGATGCCAAGCCTCCACGAAACTTCCTCATAAAGGATTTTTTTTATCGAAAAAATGAAATAAGCCCAGTCTTAACATAAATAATTAAAAATCGAAATGTTGTAAAATTGTTTAAAAAATGTAAATGAGTATTAATAAATTCAATTCAATTTAGTTAAAAATAAAGTCACTATAATTACATAAATCAAGTGCGTTCTTGTTCCATTTCTTGGGGACTAAAGTTTTTTTTTAATTGAAAATGCCATTGGGCACTATTATAAGTTTATAACGCCGTTAGACCAGTCCAGACAAGTATATAATCATGTAGTGAACGTCAGTTATACGAAGGGGCGAACAGGCTTCCACGAAGCTCCGCCGTGTTTCCTTTGAAATTTAGGATGCATTTGGAATGAGGAATTTGAAAAGGGGAGAGGAGAGAAAAATTTTAATCATTTTTTTTATTTAGCAACACACAAATTTTAAAATGGAAGAAAAAATTTTAAAATTTTTTTCTTCCCCTTCCCTCATCAACCTCCCCTCTAAAATTAGAGAATTTTGAGGTAAAAGGCAATATTTTATCATGTTGTGACTATAAATCCATAGTTATTTTAATATCTCTATACTACCTTAAATCCTTCTCTTATTGTCTCCAAACGCTGCTCTCTTATTTGTATGACCAAATATTTCATTTAAAGATGAGATACAATACAAGTTGTGTCTAAACATTACTTCACCTTCTTTTCAATAATACTTAATGCTCTAGAATATATTAGAATTTTGATATAAATATTAATCATATATTAAATGTATTTATAATCTATTTTATTAAACATTCTATAAAATTTAAAAAAATAATCTTAAATAAAATAAGGGTAAAATTGTTTATGTTAAAATATTTTTCCCTCCCTCTTTTCATAAACCAAACAAGGTAATATTAAAACTTCTCCCCTCCTCTCCTTTTTATAAATCCAAACAAGGTAATATTAAAATCCTTCCACTCTTCTTCTCTCCCCTTCCCTCCATTAAAATCTCTCCCCTCGCCTTCCTCTTATTGAGCCAAACACCCTTAAAAATATTTGGATGAAATCAAAATCATAATTTTAAAAATATTTTTATAATGTACGAAATAAACATGTGGAAGGATTTATCTCATTTATAAAAAAATTTTTTTTTATTGTCAAACACCCTTTAATGGCCAACAGCCTAAATAGGTGTTTAAGAACACCAAAAAATACTTTTAAAAAATATCTTTTTATAAATAAGACAAACTTTTTTTATATATTTACTTCATACATCATATAATTATTTTTAAATTTATAGTTTGATTTTCATCAAATTAAACACTCCTTCAATTATGTAAATAATAGATTAGCTAGATTTAGTGTACAGCTGTAAATTGGCTAACACCATCACGTGACTAGGGTATGTTTGGATGAAACAAATCGTGGTTTAGAAAATAGCTTCTGGAGAATAGATTCTGGTGGTGTTTGGCAAAACCAAAACCTAGGTTTCAGAAGCACTTTTCCGCAAAACGAGATAACCTCCTCCACATATTTACTTCGTAATCCGTAAAAGTACTTCTGAAACCATGGTTTGGTTTCTATCCAAACACCTCCTCTGTGGAGAATAGATTCTGTGGAGAATAGATTTTGTGAAAAGTAATTCTGAGAAGTGAGAATGTTTGGATAGTTATTACCAGAAGCACTTTTTACATGTGAAAATTACCAAAAAAGATATAAATTAATATGATAATTATATAAGGGATAGATTTTATGATATATTTTGATTTAAAGAAATAAAATTGTTAATGAAATAATTTTTACTAACATAATTAATAATATATAAGATAATATAATTAATACATAATTAATATGTGTATATATATTTATAAAACATAATATTAAATATGTTTATAGAAAAATGAATTTTTTTTTTGCTAACAGAAAAATATTAATTTTCTTTAAAGATTTTAACATGAAATTTCATAACATTTTTCAACAACTATTTTTTGTAATAGCATACTACATGTATAATAACTCTGATGTTTAATATAATTAATTAATTAATTGTTAATTATGTAATCATATTTTTTTTTAATTTTTTTTGTTAATTTATGTTTTGTACTATAATCATATTATTGTTATGTTTGTACTTTATAATAAATTTTACGTACACAAAACTCCGAGCCCAATATATAAATGATCTATTCATATATAACAGAGAAAGATAAAAATATATAATTAAATGATTTACAAAGTTTGAACCATATCATTTAACCTGCCAAATCAATACTTTCATACATATGACGACGGGGTTTCTGGCGCTTCAGAAAATCAAATCCCAAATCAGCAAGTTCACAACAATCCAGTGACAGAGACAATTCACTGAATAATTCCATTATTCATTCTATGGATCCACAATACATCAACATAGTTCATTCTCATCAAGGTCCATG